TTTTCAGTGCTGGGAGCATGTTGATGCACATTTGTTTTTTGGGGGCTTTCAGCTCTGAAAATGTAAATTTCACATTAGGCACTCTTGCCCCCATAACTATCACCTATCTATAACACGTTGTCACCTTAACACTAATGTCAAACTTCAACCATACCTCTATAGATAGACAAGATCTGCACATAATATATCATCTTTTATGTGAAGGTTCTTCCGATATGTCATTGCATTTTCATCCTAAGGAGTGGCTCTGAGCTTAGATTCCTAGGATTTTATATAGCTGACATATAAATCAATATATGTTATGGGGGCTGTGTAGGTTTGGTATGGAAATTGCATGAATTACTAACTTGCCTAATATATTCATTTATATCCATTTATCTCTGAAATTGTGGATATTTTATATGGATAATAGAGCCGTGTGATGTTTTAAAGAAAATAGGTGCAATAAACCAGTAATTTGTAAATTGGGGCTTTTCAGGTGCCAGACCAAAACAGAATGAAATGTTAATATATAGTTTATTTAATACGTTGTATAGAAACAAATGTTAAAACATTGTACAAGATATAATGTGTGTTCCATCAGAGCTATACAAGATAGAGTTGTCAAATTAGTAATTTATTATCTGCACGGGCCTTTTAATATTCCCAAAAGAGGTATTTCACAGGAAGGGAAAAGTGGGAACACCCACCTCCAGGTCCTGGTAATGGTTAGTCTAGGGCAGTGGTTCTCAACCTGTGGGTCGCGACCCAAAAGTGGGCCACAACCCACAGTTGAGGGGGTCCCCACGTGCCTTGTGCTGTGCTAGATAAGAGGCTCCTCCGCCTCCTCCTAGCGCAACAGTGTCAGTTCTTCTAGATGGTGCTGCACGAGCGGCGGCTGGAGAGGATCAGAGAGAGGGGTGCGGTCAGGAGTGAGGAGAGGTGAATGCTTGATCACCAAAGAGCCGCACTGGGTGCCACCAGAGAGTCCCACTTACCACCTGAGAGCCTGCATAGCCTCCTGAGAGCCCACACAGATACTAATTTTGGTTCATCCCTAAATGTTACTGTTGGGGGTCACCACAACTTGGCAAAAACCAAGTTGTTACCAAGGGGCCCCGGCCCTAGAAAAGTTGAGAACCACTGGTCTAGGGAGACATTGGCTGCTATGTTCTGGCTACTAGGATGTAACCTCCAGGATCTGGTGTACACTATTCATCCTGAGTGGCCTTTTAGATTATGACAGCCGATCACCTGTCCTCATATGCCAGCTCCCCTCCAAACGTTTTAACATTTATATTTACGATGTATTAAATACAATTTTTATGTTAACATTTCATTCTGTTGTGGTCTGGCACCTGAAAAGCCCCAATTTACAAAATATTGGTTTATTGCTGCTTTATGGGGGGTGTGGTACCACCTCGCTTGGTGGTTCGATATATACTTATTTAAAGTAAAGTGGCGGATGACAATTTTAAGCCTTTTTGAATCATTCTACATTAAACGAAAATACATCTATTTTATTCCAATAGCTGAGTGCCATGAAAGTATGGCAGAGCAGCCAGATGTCATGTCAAATGTCCATCCCAATGGCCAGGAGTGCTAAAAGCTATGTTCTGTATGTTTTCAAGGAGGCTTTAGCATAAGAACTCGTAATGTATAAACTCTGAATCTGCATAAATGTTTCCAATAAATGTAAACTGTTTTACAAGAGCAATTTAACATTGAAATAAGAATTGCATGTCACCTGCTGATACTTTTCCCCACCCTCAGCACCCTCCCCAAGGCTCAAACCTCAGTAGCCTTCTGTTCTAGGCTTCGGCCATTGACCCCCCATAGCCCCTCCCCCAGAATACCTATATACCAAACGCAGGCTCCCTCTCCGCTCTGACCTCTCCGGACGGAAGTGTGACAGCGTGTTCTGTGAAGTGTCTCTTCTCCCTGCTGGTGCTGGCTGCAGAGCTCTGTGTCCCTTTCACAGACCTCTGTAGACAGCACGAGAAGGGAGAAAAGACTGACTGTGAAATCCCCCTCTGCCCCCCCTCCCCCCCTGTACCTTAGCTGCTGCTGCTCCTCCGTGTCCCCTCCTTTTCAACTTCATGAAGCTGTTTCCTTTTGGTGATATATCACAATGTGTGAGATGTCCGTGCTCATAAGGAGCATTCACCCGACGTGCACAGCAGTTTTCACTCTCATTGAAAGAAGAGAATGTCCGTTCTGTATGCTCACGGGGGAGAGGAGAGAAGCTGTAAATCTCGCCTTCACACATAATGGACCTTCTCTCTCTTTCATTGAGAGGGAAAACTCCTGTGTACGTCTGGTGAGGGCATTATTAAACACATAAGGAGCATGGGCAGTTGACACTGAGATATATCACCAAAAGCAAACAGTTTCATCAAGTGGAAAAGGAATGGACACCTGTAACAATAGCCAGCCTGTTATTGGATATTTTAAATTGCAATAGCCAATAACAGGCTGGCTATTGTACCCGCCCATTGCCTGCTGCTGTCAATCAGCAGAGAGGACCTGATTGAGAACTTTGTCTTCAGTTCCCTCCTTTGCTGATTGACAGCAGGCAGTGGGCGGGTACAATAGCTAGCCTGCTATTGGCTATTGCAATTTAAAATATCCAATAGCAGGCTGGCTATTGCTCCCAGCCACTGCCTGCTGTATTTACATTCAGTGAATCCAGTGAAGTAGAAAGGTGACACTAGAGGTCTAAAAGACCCCTAATGTCACCTTAAAGAGACCCTGTCACCTCCAATGCACGCAGCACTGGTGAGAAACTGCCCTAAAATCATTAGTATCGTTTTAGAAAAAATGTAACCTATCCATTGGTCTTGAAAAAGTGGTATCGGGACATCCCTATTCTGTTCTATGACAATGTTACCTGCTGTGTGTTATTAGAGGTGGTATATTTGCCTATGCTTGCATGGAAATCCTGTTGGTTTGTGTATGCAAATATGGGCACATTTAGTAGTTTTTCTGAAACTAGTTCTTCAATATGAAACTTGCATTTTATGCCTCAGCTGTTTAACTTTTACACATAGTGAGCATTGTTTGTTTTCTAATACAGGAGTTAGTTACATATATGTCATAAATAACCAGAAGACTTTCACATGTTTTTTTATTTTGTAAAATATATTACTGTCATTGCTTGGTAATATAGAGTACAAATAAGTAGATACAAAAATAAAAACTGGACACTGAAAGTGAAGATGTTTTAGGGAACATGTAGAAATTTTAATTGTGTTCAAACAGTACCCTAAAAAAATTACTTTTGTCATGCATTCCTCCTGAAACCCTGGTACGTGTGTGTGCCTAGGCACACCTAAGATGCTACTGTCCATGTCTGATAGTCTCACCAGAATTTGAGTGAGATTTGGTGATGCAACTGTTGTACTGCTCATTGTTCTCCTTGCTGGATGCACTGACATGAGGAAGCAAAACCCTGCCCCATTCAAGAGGACCGCCTCCACACAGAGAGGCACAGTATAGAACAAAGTAAAGATGGTGCCATCCGTTGGCCACCGTAGCACCCACCAGTTGTTTTTGAAATAAGCGGTCCGGAGTGCGATGGGTTCATGGACTACAGTATAGAACAAGGCACGGCAAGTCCAACGGTGGAAGGAGTGGTTTATTTATTACAGGTATTTATATAGCGCCGACAATTTACGCAGCGCTTTTTACCTCGTGCACATTCACATCAGTCCCTGCCCTCAAGGAGCTTACAATCTAAAGTCCCAATTTTACACGCATACATACAGAGCCAATTTAGACAGGAGCTCTCTGTACAGTAAATCTGTCTTTTTTTTCTTTTTTACTGAATCTTACATTTTCCAGTTTTAATAAATGTCTCCCAATATATTTAGTGATAAATCAATTCCATTGTAATGGCCTTTTAGATCATTCACACTCTGAGAACACTATCCTATGTTAATAACAGTGCAGTACCTTCCGTTTAATTCAGAACAGCAACAAAATAGATGTTTCAAAAACCAGTTACTTTGCCAGAGTTATGTAATAACACTGCTGTGCTGGTTTATAAACACAGAAGTCTCTAAAGTGTTGCCCACCCATCCAGCCCAGTATAATTCTATTCTACCTGTCAGGGAAAAGACAGGATAAAGATAAATCTATTAAGTGCACATTTGTGCTTTCTCTCACCGCATGTGCTTAAAGTGACATTAAACCCTCAGATTTTTTAACATAAAACAATACTGTAATGTGTGCCTTACTGTAATCCATGGTTGTTTCCCTTCTCTTTGCTGCTCTTCCATTTAAATCTGTATCTGTTCTCATGCTGGGCAGAACTTCTGTTTTGCAGCAGACTGCCTTGTCTCTGAAATGGATACATGGTGTCTGTGTGTAGGTTTGCAACCTGAGCCAGCACTACAGGAATAGGCACTCAGCTGCAAAGGGAAGTTCTCCCCAAGCATGAGAAGACATGAGGATTTAAAAGGAAGAGCAGCAAAGAGAAGGGAAACAACCATGGATTACAGTAAGGCACACATTACAGTATTGGTTTATGTTAAAAAATCTGAGGGTTTAATGTCACTTTAACTACACATGTGTTACCTTAAGCGTTTCGAACGACCCCATTCTAATGACTTGCATAGTAAAATAAAGGTCAATACACCCAACAGTTAGGAAATTTAGGACTTTTCTACAACGCAATACTTTGGTAGGACCTGAACCGTTAATAGTGATGTGTTATGTCCAATCATCTGGCCTGCACTGTAAAATGAGGTGAATTTATGCATTTGGTAAGACTGAATGCTTTCTACTTTTTCTATAGGTACATTATCAGATCTTTTTTTTTAATTACATTTAATTTAGGCTGCAGCACTCGTCTTTGGTTAATTGAGTCACCACAAACATACAATATTTTCTCATAACTGTTCTATTCCAGTTATCATTTATTTCTGAAGCTTAGATAAATGGCTTAGATTGCTCGTATTGTGTTCCTCTATGCAGTTTGCCTGTTACCGTGATAATGCATGAAGAATAGGTTGTCAAAGAGTGAGGTGAAGCAGAAACAACTCTTAGAGGTGACACAGAAAACCTCCAAAGCCTAGATTTAGGATCTACCATGTGCTTAAAAAAGGTGCTCATCTTATTTGCACCTCACTTGTTATGCTGGGTTTAAAAACACACTTTGAAAATATCTCCAGCACCTATATTCTTCTAAAATTATCTGTCCGGTTTGTATACATTTGTACTGTATATGTACTGTTTGATGTAATATTGTAATTGTGTTCTTGCAGAGCACATATGGATTTTGGAGGAAGCCTGCTATGAACTTGATCTATCATCCTCATCAGCTGAGAGTCCTCAACCCTTTCATCCTTCGCCAGGTTTCACAGACTCTACTGAATTTTCCCACCATCTTTCCAAAGACAGAAGTAAGTTAGTTTGCTTTGTGACTTTTATTCTATGGATGTAAAACACAGTTTTGCCTCATATTTTATTGTCTGATGTACAGTGTCTGGTTTTATTATGTCCTAATAAAGTTATTGTATTTAGAGCAGGGGTTTCAAAGTACCGGCCTGCGGCCCACAAACCGATACGATGCGGCCCGCAGCCGGCTGGCAAGTCAGGCACGCAGTTATGGATTTGCCGGAGCAGCTACACTGTCTGCATATAGGATGCTATATAGCTGCTCCTGTAAGTACTGCAGTTCCCTTTAGCCGGAGTTCTGACAGACTTCATTGTGCTCCAGCCAAAAGGAGGGATTAGTAAGGTCAGCACCAGCTAAAGGTGCAGACCGTACTAATCAACCATTGCACCATCAGGGAATGGGGCCGTATAAGTGTCAGTGTGACCAGCAGGGTAGTGAGGCGGCATCAGCAGTGCGGTCTCCCTGCCCCCTCCATCTCCGTGCCCCTCATGCTATGCCCAGCTCTGTGAGCCCTTCATAAGTTGTAGGTGCCCTGCCTGCAGGATCGGCTGCACTCTCTCTCTATTGTGATAAAGGTAAATAACAGGCTTTCCAGAGGCTGCACCGTGAGAGCAGGTACACATGACATTTCTCTGTATGTTGATGTCATCTGTTATTGTTATGATGTCAGAGCTGTCACAACCTGTTGCAGCATGACATATGGCGGCGTGTGCATGGCAGGCAATGTGCATCATAATCATACCTGCAGATCAGGTCATGGAGGGAATGTGGGGCTGTCTATGAGGTGAAGGACAAACTGGCTTCATGTGACCGGAGAATAGTGATGGGAGTGTGGTGTGTTATTGATCTTCTGGTGTGATCTTTGCATATAGTTTGCTGGTGTATTGGATTCTTGTATGTAGACCTTATCAGTTGTGCTTGTCATAGCAGATCCAAAACATATCACTGAGACTTCCCACATTCCTGCACCAGCCAGAATGATGGACTAGAGAGCTTTACCTGCAGTCAGATTATCCTTCCAGACAATCTGATTGATTAGTGTGTGTGTGTGTGTGTGTGTGTGTGTGTGTCCCATTGCCTAGATTATGACTGATACACCCTCCCCATCACCTATATTATGTTTGATTGGTCCCCCGTCCTCATTGCCAATATTATTACTCATTGGTACCCCGTCCACTCCTTTGTCCTTATCCCTTTTGTCTTGACTGATCGGTCCCCCATCCTCATTGCTTAGATCAGCGGCCCAGTTCTGGCCCGCAAACAGACAGGCACGCAGTAGTAGACCACGTACCTGACTTGGGGGGAGCAGCTACACGGTCTGCATCTCTGTCTAATGCAAAAAGCACAGCTGCTCCTGGCAGTGCCAGCACTCGGTGTGCTGGCACTTGTCTTGCATTTGGGATGCGCTGGCCGTTTTTCCCATATGGTGTGAACAGACCCTTATTGAAATCATTTTTCTTTAGTTACCCATTCCAGTATTCCATAATATGTGTAATTATTACTCATATTATTGTTAGTAAAATATTCACTTACATATATATTTTTTTCCACTCAGCCATGAGGATGAGATGAGCTATATTCTTAGAAAAGGGAGGAGGGTACAGGTAGATGCTGTGTTCTCCTTTTTTCTTTAAACTGCGGGAGTGTCATTCATTCAAGTTGTGAGGTTGGTCTAGATAACTGGTTAGAGATTGTGGCTGTCAGACAGGAGGATGAGGAGAAAGCAGTGGGTGCACCTTGTGCAAATATCCCTGCAGCTCATTATGGTTTCTTAATGGTTTACTGGCCTCCTTTAGGATGGAGGAGGACAGTTGGGCCAGCTGGGACCTGCAGGACATACTGGGCCAGATTAAACCAACATTCCTTTTGGCACATGTGTAATGTGCACTTGACATACACCAAGAAAAACCCCAACATAGTGATTATGTTAAAGAGGGTTTGCAGCATGTGCACCAGAAACTGAATTGCAAATTGCGATTTGTTGCAGGAGTGACCCAAACGTCTGCACCCTATAAACAAATATCTGCATTACAATGTAACCACATATCTCCGCCTGCTATGACCGGACGCAGGTCTGCTCTGCACCGTGTATTGTTTATGGGGAGTATGCATGCTCTTGCAGCATAAATTACATTTGGAATAAAGCTGCTTATACCTCACATTTTTATTGGATTACTTACAGTTACAGGGCTCCTTCTATATTCTGTTCTTAACGTGCCTGCATGTTGCCATCATCTAGGCCAGAGGTAACCCAAGAAGAAAAATGTAATATAGTGCAGTTTACCAGTCCTTGATGTGGCGATGGCATTCATTTTTCTCTTTTCATGTTATGTACATTTTCTGCAAGTACCGAAAATACCTGTTGACTCAGAAATCCAGTGTTCTTGTAACTTCATTTGCACTGAACTGAAATAATAGTCTTATCCATTTTCCCAGCCATCACCTATGAACTGCAGAACACCTCCCCCCAAGTAATAAAGATGAGGATGGGGGAGGTATTTGCAGTCCAAGTCAGGAGAGCAACAACGCTGCTGCTCTATAGATGCAGTACAGAGTGTGAGCGTTATCACTTTAAGACAGGAAGTGTGTTACTAACAGGATCTCCAGCTAAAAATAAAAGGAAACAAAAAAAAAGAAAACTGCAGCCTCCAAATATAAGGCTTTGTAGGCTAGAATATATCACATTGCTGGTTTTGGATTTAGTACCTTTTAAGTCGCTTGATTGTCATTGCTGCTTGCAGTCCTGTATACAGTCAGGCATGTATGACCTAAAAGCTGCTGATTTTACCCACAATTCCATATTGTTAGATGGACACTATAGATATATAATGTGTGTATGTGCAGGGGGTCGCTCACTGTAGTTCCAGAGAGCCCAGTGTAGACCCAATAACTTGTTTTATGTGAGTGTTTGATGATGCTGCCATCTGCTGGTGTCACCTAGTACTGAGTTGTGGTTTTTCCCTTATTTTTTTCTAGAAACCAAAACATCCCACAACTGGAATGATTGCCATCACGTTGGCATTCCATATGTGTAATGAAGTCCATATAGCAGGATTTAAATACAACTTGACATCTTTAAATAGTTCGCTTCACTATTATGGAAATGAGACCATGTCTGCAATGGCTCAGGTAAGGATTGCAGTCTATAATTCGTGGTTCAATTAGCTGTTCAGTGCAGTTTTGTTGTCATTTTGTGTCTTAGTTTTTATGTGGCAGTTGTTTCAATTTGCATTTTGTTTCGCACCAAATCCTATGTGAGGTAAAGAAAGGTTTTGAGAAGGACACAGTTTTGTACAATTAAATAGATAACTTTTACTTTGCCGTCCACCATCTTCTTCTCTGTAATGTTTTACTAAGGGGCATGTTACATACATAGTGTTGAGACAAATTCATATTTTTACACAAAAATACATATTTTCCCCCAAGTCATCTTTCAGGGCATCAGAGAAAGAGGATTCGCCCACCTCAAACAGGAAACGCATCTTCCACAATTAAAATAAAAGGGGCGGTGCCGCCCAACCTCCTCAGCTTATTGTGTTTCCTGCGGCCGAACAGGAACATCGTAACCGTTTGTCATTATTTTCCATAGGCCTGCGTGCTATTTGCAGGGGCCTCCCAGGGCATGCTCCGCCGTGAGTCAGGGACAGTGGACCTGGGGGCTTGTCCTAGAATTAACCTCCAGGTTATCCTTTTAAGGAACCCTTCCTCCCATGTATCCCCGAGGTTTCTTATCCGCCTTGAGGAAAAGCAACCATCCCCGGGCGCATATCGGCTTTAGCAAAGCTTTCCCTTGCTCACATGTTTTCGGCTCAGATTTCTCCTCTGCTTGAAGAGCATGTAAAGAGCTGTAAAACCAAAAAAAAAAAAAGGTTTGGATTTACCTATCTTTTAAGTGCAGTCTTGGTCCACATTTGCAGAGCCTAATATATCCAGTGAATGGTTGCTCACCACTTTATTAAAGTTAACAAAGAACTCTAGACATAAAAAAAAACGTACCCCTGCACTGGAGCTACCCCCTGCACTGTAAAGGTTAAGTGGTTGTTTTGTCTGTGGAACTTGAGAAAAAGCTATATTACTCCCCGGATCCTCGGTCCCATGGCAGTCAATGCTCGCCTCTGTCCCCTGCCGATCCAGCTATGGAATGCCCTTTGGTGTTCTCATGTCTAATGCAATCCAATGGACCTGCATAAGACATAATTACCTTAGCCATCCTTAGACCACCGGAGCCCGTGGGAGAAGAGGCCATGGGGACTACCCTAGCAACCTGAAGGGAGTCAGTGGGAACGAGAATCAGGTGAGTGGTAGAGCTTTATTTGAGTCTTAGACAAAAACTAGCACTTAACCCTTGCAGCGTAGGTTAGCCGCTCTGCAAGGGACGTCTATTTTCCCAGAGTTCTGTAGGTTTTGTTGGGGAAAAAAACTATTTTCCTTAGTCTATTATACATGACAATCGGTATGTGCTGGTGGATCACTGGACCTCGCTGTAAGTATATTAAAAACAAAGGGGCCCAGAAACTAGTTTTTCAAAGACCGCTCTCTGTCATCTGGGACACTGGGAGTAGCACGTAGGATGTTGGAAGGACAGTTTGAATAAGATGCAGTAAAAAAACATTGTATTCATCAAGACATGTAAAACCGAAAGCTAATGTGTTTTGGGGGCTGGACACTCCCCCTTCATCAGGGTTTCTGTGCTGGCAGTGAATTTGTATTGGACTGTATTTGTAGAATGAACTAATAGCTCCAGGAGTCCGTTCCCTAGAATGATTGCTACATATTCCTGTGTAGAAGTTATTCGCTTCATTGTACAAATTCAAACTCACTGCCAGCGCACAAGCCCTGATGAAGGTGGAGAGCTTTAGACCCCTAAACAATGCGGGGATTTATCAAAATTGGAGCAGACAGAATCTGGAGCATAGTCACCAATCCGCTTCTCTCTTCAGTTTGTTCAGTTAAGCTTTCAAAATGAAAGATGGAAGCTGATTGGTTGCCGTGCACAGCTGCTCCAGATTTTGTCTTATTCTAGTGTTGATAATTTCCAGACGTGGCCAGAGTGCGGGGTAACCGGGAGTAAACAGACGCCTGTCCTGGTAGCAAGTGTTCCACAATTCCGTCTGTGTGTGGTCTTACATTAACTTTATTTTAAGTTGAAGGACATGGCAACAGGGAAGCACTTAACAGGGGGGATGTTGTGTTACCTTTCCTTCTACTTCACTGTAACCTCTGCTTGTGCTTTTCTTTAGATGCTTTGTTTTAATTGCCCATGTTTGTGATTAGTTTAGGTTAATGATACTGAAATACAAAAAGACGTTGTGAAGTAAATACATTTTTTAGAAATTCTAAACTATATGTTAATAAAAAGATGCGAGTTTCTCTGTTTTAGTATTTGACATCCGCTGTCTTTTCTTCCCCTGACAGAATGAATATCACAATATCTCAGCAGAACAAATGTTGCTTAGTGACCTTATTGAACAGAAAACTGTTACAAACTTGACGTAAACCACGGAGAATCCCGGGAGTTTACTGTTGCCAAAAATAAATTCCTAATGTACAGTATTCATATTTTTATATATTTGGATTTATTTTAAACCATGGAAGTATTTTGCCGCCTTTGAAAACTCTTGAAAAGTGTTTCGTTGGCCGCGGGAGGACCTCTGCCCACCGGATTGTTGGTCACTACTTGGCGAGTCTGAACGTTACATGTGTGCCTCTGTTGTAAAGAGAAACCTGGGACTGTGCTGGCGGTGGGTGAACCTCAAGTGAATGTACAGTACTTCCCATTAGAATGACGGTTTTTGGGGTCACTCAGAGATGGACATTTTGGTTAGAGTAAAATACTATAAAGCACAAATAGATCAAGTGTGTTCTTATGTTTCTGTATAAAGTGTCCTTTTTTGTGCATTGTGATTGTTGCTTATTGTTCTGTTTGTATTAAGTGTTTTAAGGCAGTTTTTTTCCTGATAACTTTGACCTTTTGTATTATATAGTTTAGTGTTCAAGCTCTTCTAGGTCTGGGAACAAGCCAGGTGGCCGACAGATCCTCAGCCATAGCTGCTCATAACTCACTGTGGAAATAGATAAATTACAGGTGAAGGATTGTAGGTTTTCTTGTGACTCGTGTGCACAGTTTGTGTTGCCTTCCATTTACTGCACTTTTTTTTTTTACGTGTCTATGTACATTTACTTTGGGTTGCACACTTAAACTACACTGTAGAGTCCTGTTGTGCTTCTGCCACACACCCATCTCTACGTTTGAGTGTTTTGGGGTAAGTCAGGGCTGGACAAATCTCAGAAGCCAGATAGCCAATGCTCCTTAAAATATACAGCTGGCGCCTAGCTTTTGAGCTTCTCTTCAGTTGTTTCTAATGTAGGTGGCTCATGAAAAAAATCCTTCTGGCTCCTGGATTAGGCATATAGGCTCCTGATTTCCAAAATAATTTGTCCACCCCTGGGGGAATGCCAGGTTCTGTATGGGGGCTCTTCTCTGCAGCAGCTCCTGGGAGTCAGGTTTGCACTGCAGTGTCACCTGCTGGATCATTATGTTATTGCACTGCAGACCTGCAAGTGGACCTGGCATTGAATTATGTTTTCATGTTAAGTGTGTGCGTGGTGAGTAATATGTAAAATCGGTGTTTATTACCTCTCAAAGAGGTTACAATACTCCTACAGCCCATTACAGAACAATAGTTAAGAGCTCCTTTATTTGAATCTGATAATAAGAAATGATTTCCAACTGTGTGGAGAAACCCTGTAGGGAAATGTAGTTCAGAGCAAACTACAGTCTCCACACCCATCACGATTACTGGGATCCTTGCGCTAACAGACCCAATGCACAGGAGATCCTGATAGTGAAAGCATGTGGTAATTTCTTATTGATTACATCCTTTGTTCTTTTCTACACCTCACATGAGCTGCTCCTTGCTTGGGAGAACACCAGCATCAGGAACCAGTAGGAAAATTCACCTTAAAGTGACACAAAACTCAGGAGTTAAATCTTAAAAATACATTCAAGTACCATAACTATTAACAAAAATGTATCTTATTTGTGTATCACTCTGCTGTAGATCCTCAAATCATCTCTGAATTGGTGCTGACACTGTCCTTCCTTCTGGAGGGTGGCTACATTTGTTCTCCAGGGTCCCTGTGTGTGTTGTAAAGTAGCCACCACTTCAAGCTCACTCCCGTGATGGACTACAATCTGAATACAAATTGGTAAACTATACATGAGACTGTAGTCCATTACGGGAGTGAGCTTGGAATGGTGACTACAACACACACAGGGACCCTGGTGAACAAAAGTAGTCACCCTCCAGAAGGAAGGACAGTGTCAGCACCAATTCAGAGATGATTTGAGGATCTACACAGTGATGATACACTGTGTATGTACGATACATTCTTGTTAATAGTTAAAGGAGAACTATGAGGTGAGTGATTTTCACTCATCCTCATAGTTAGAGCCGACGTGTTCAATGAAACTGTCACACGTTGACTCTAGATCGGGAAGTGAGTGAACACATACCGTCACTCGCTCACTTCCCGATCATCTCCCTGCAGAGAGCGATGACTGTCACACACCGATCCTCGCAGGGATTCCTCCCCTCTCCGATCCTCCAGCGCTGACTGGAGGAACGGACGGGGAGGGGGCACACGCAGCTGGCTCTGCCTCTAGATGGGCGAAACCCGCTGTCAACTAGCCAGCTGGGCAGATCTCGACAATATTGTCGGGATCTGTCCCGGCTGCAGCACTCTCAGTATATAGCGGGCAATAACTCGCTATATACTGAGCTTTGGATCATGGGAGGACGCTAGTATATGTCCCTCCATGACCCTAGAGACAACTATGGGATAGAGGGCAGTTTTTCTTTAAAGGAGAACTATTGAGAGGGTAAAATTATACTCTTCCCAATATTTGAGCCGGCGTGAGACACTGCAGCTGTCACACGTCGGCTCTATAGATGGAGAGCTGAGTGATCACAAACCTCTGTCAGTCACTGCTCCCTGCAGGGAAATCCCCCCTTCCAATATTGTCCGGGATCTTTCCCGGCTGCAGTGCGGCTTTGCACTGTCAGCATATGCTGATGCTGAATTCGGGTCACAGGAGGACATTTGTAAATTAGTAACTAAATAGTAGGAAAAGTAAATATATATGTTCCCCAATAATAACTCATGTTGGGTACATTACATGTAGCTGAAAATCTTTGATGAACTGGAGCAGAGGATAATTTAGTCTTTTAGTAATCAGACTCTGTAGTATTGTAATATGGACTCTGATGGAAATGGCAAATAACCTGATTACTATGGAAATGTATCCAGTGTACCCTAGCATTTGAGATGTGTTTACCATGCGTTTACTACATGTCTGCTGTGCTTTGCCATGCATTCACTTTGACTTGTAGGAAAGAAAATGAAAGCTAAATCTGACCTTAACTAATTTCAAATGCCTGTGTAAAGCAGCGTTAATGCATTTATTAATGACTACAAAGGTCAGACTGCAGCTTTTCAACCAGATTACTGTATATTACAAAAGAAAATAGGAATGTATTGTATAACACAAAGATCCAAATGTCATTGATGGTTGTTGACCAATGTTAGTTGCTCATATTTACAGAACTTTGGCAGATGTGAGATATGGAACCTATTGCATGTCATTGTCTCCAGCATGGGGACTACATTTTGAAACCTTTTCTGATTTGTATGTGAAACCACCTGCTTAGGGTTAATGTCTGTGTTCTGTGGTATGGTCAGTGCTTTCAGGGAAAGAAGTGTTTTAAGTATTGATGGCCTTTAATATGCCACTGATATTTGCTTTCCCATGTTCTGCTAAAAACTAACGTTTATCTGCCCCATTTTTGCCATCTATCTATATCTATTTATTGATTGATTGATCGATCGCAGAGGCATGTTTATACACTGAAGAAAAGTAAGTTGTCCACAACATCAGAGAGGTTGCCTACAGCAACCGATCCGGTTATATCCATTAATCTCTGGAAAAATCAAGCAAGGGATCAGGCCCCTATTTTCTCTGATTTTTATGGAGCATTTTGTTCTCATTTTTTTAGGTTGGCCTTGTTCTGTAGGATAGTGAGGTGCACTTTTTGACAGAGAGAGCAACTAGTTGACATCATCGCATGAAATAGGCTATTTACTTCAAACTGGACCAATCTTCCCTAAACAGGGGTGAGTGTCTTGGAGACCACCTGACACCAACGTATAATGTCATTTTAACATCTCCACCCTGGTGTTTTTTTTGTATTTTTTTAATTATTACAGTTCATCCCTTCAGCCATGTAACACAAATGATTAACACTTGTTCTAGACTTTGTGGCTCCAAAGGATTGGATTATGTAACTAGAATAGGGTGGTTTAACAAACTTTCTCCCATCCTGGGTTTGGACAGTCATCATCTGCCTTGACACATGGTGAATGGTACGGAGTATGTACCTGACGAGTCCAGTTCAATGCCATTAAAGGAGAACTATGAGATGAGTGATTTTCACTCATCCTCATAGTTCGAGCCGACGTGTGACAATGAAACTCTCACACGTCGGCTCAATAGATCAGGAAGTGAGCGAACACATACCGTCGCTCGCTCACTTCTCGATCCTGTCCCTGCAGAGAGCCGTGACTGTCACTCATGGCTCCCTGCAGGGTTTCCCCGCTCCGATCCTCCAGCGCTGACTGGCGGAACGGACGGGGGAGGGGGCGGGTACAGCTGGCTCTGCCTCTAGATAGGCAGAGCCAGCTGTCAATCACGCAGCTGGGTGGATCTCGACGGTAATGTCGGGATCCATCTCGACTGCGGCGGTCTCAGTATACCGCAAGCTGTAGCTCTCGGTATACTGAGCTTTGGGTCACGGAAGAACGCTAGTTTGTGTCCTCCCGTGACCCTTAGAACTATGGGGAAAAACACTTACCCCATAGTTCTCCTTTATTTACTAGTAGCTATAGCCTATGAACTGTAAACGGAATCTGTTGTAAATACTGTACAGCATTGTGAACATACAAAGCAACTAGAAAAGCAAAGTGCATACAACAGCAACCATCTTTCACTGCTCAGATTATTATAAACATTGCAGCATTGCCTCCTGACAATAGCTTGTTGCACATATTCCTAAAGCACAGCGATCATGTGGCCATAAAATGCAAATTAAGTTTGTTGCTGCACGGGGAAGCTCCATCCAGTACCAGAGGTTTCTTTGTGTTTACCTGCTGCTCCACCTCCCACCTCTGCTTTGTTGTCCTCTGAAAAAAGCAAACTTGTGGGTATGATGTAGCTGTGTTTTTTTCCATGCCAGAACAACCAGTTACTAGGCGCAAACACTCAGATTTGGGGCATGAATGACTTTCAAAATGTTGCCACATCCACAGAGTTTTCAGGGGCCGTAGCTGCAACCAGGTGAGGCCAACTAAAAGTGTGGCATCAGAGGGCGCCCCATATACAGCTATGAGCCTCTGTTGTGTTTCTTAAGAAGTGTGCTTTAAAATACAATTATTCCATATGGAAACTGTTCTGTTTTTGTGGTCAGACTTTGACCAACACTTAAGACAACAGTGAGACATTGGTGACCAAGACAGCACATCCTCCTGGTCAATAAAATAATCTTTTGCAGTGCAAGGATCTTAATTTGGCCTTGTCTAGTTTTGTTTTGTTTTTTGCAAGATGCTCTAGGGAAAAATTATTAAAATCTGACAGCTCCATGCAGCAACCAATCCATCACCAGTATGGCACTCAACTTGTATGCAGCCATTTTTTTCTTTTCTTTAGCACCTCATGTATGGATTAG